GCTTGTTTTCTGCTGTGCCTCCTCTCGTTCGTCGTGACACTACACTCCATGGTCCAAAGACATCTAGACCAACTCTGGTGAACGGGGGTTCTATGGAAAGCCTATCCTCAGGCAAGTCAGACATCTTTTGCTCTTGAGGCTTTCTTCTGAGTTTGCGGCATATGACACATCCATAGATCAAGCTAGAAACCAGCTTTCCTGCTCCAATTATCCACAAACCGGCTGAGCGAAGTGCCCCCTCAGTTAAGTGGCGACCTTGGTGGGCAACTTCCTGGTGATGATGTCTCACTAACAAAGTTGTCACATCGTGTCTCTTGGGAAGTATGACTGGGTGTTTTTCATCATATGGAAGGTCAGCTGAAGAGAGCCGTCCACCTACTCTAAGCACTCCATCCTGATTGATAAAGGGGTTCAACCTCCACAGAGGACTTGCTTTGGAAATTTGTTTCCCTCTCTCCAATTGTTTCACTTCTTCCGTGAATGCTAACTGTTGAACACTCCAGATCACTCTAAATTTTGCCTGTGTTTGTGGATTTTGTGGGACTTGTTTTGAAAGCCTGGACCTGTATCTTGCCACGCTGATGAGCTTCGCCATTCCATTTATCAGAGTTTTCAATGAGGAGAACCATTCAAATCTCTGTGGACTGAGAGGTCTATCAGTAGCCTTAGTTGTTAGGGTGCTGATTTCTGGGCGAGTCTCTGCATCGTGCTGTGGTTCAACAAGGTCAAACTTACTTAATGTCACTGATGGGGATACCTGTTGTTGGGCCTGCTTTAGGAACTGAGGACCAGTGAACCAGCTTGTTTTGTGCAGGAGACTTGCTGCAATCGGCCTTGTTGCGATGTCAGCTGGGTTGTTCTCTGTTGCAACATAATTCCACTGCGTGCATGTAGTGAACTTCCTAATTCTAGAGACTCTGTTGGACACATAGATGTAAAACCTTCACGAAGCATTATAGCACAATCTTGCTGTCTGTGTAATACCTTACGGCATGCAGCTCAAGGTCCATCTCCTGACAAATGAGCTCTGCCACCTCTACAGCAAGAACTGCAGCACACAGCTCCAATCAGGGAATGGTATGTGCAGGCTTGGGTGCTAGCTTGGATTTACCCATGACAAACCCGAAGAAGCACTGTCCTTGTTTATCAATAGCTCGTATGTAGGCAACTGCTGCAATAGCCATTGACGAGGCATCTGAGAAGACACAAAGCTCTTGGTGCTGCATGGAGGACAGAGAAGACGGAATATAAGGCCTGGGTATGTGCAGAAGCTCTACCTCTGACAGGGAGTCTTTCCATGCATTCCATTGTCTTTCTTTGGCAGGTGGAAGAGGATCATCCCATTCACATGGTTCTGTGGTAAGTTCTCTGATGAGGGCTTTGCCTTGGACAGTGATGGGAGCAATAAACCCTAATGGGTCATACAAGCTGTTGACTATAGAGAGTATGCCTCGCTTAGTGAAGGGTCTTTCTTCCTTGGAAACTTGGAAGGTGAAAGAATCTGATTCAAGACTCCAGCTCAGTCCAAGGCTACGCTGAACAGGAAGAGAATCTGTCCCTAGGTCTAGGTTTTTCAGGTCCTTGGCCAGATCATCAGCTGGAAATGCATCCATTACCTTGCTACTGTTTGAGGCAATTTTGTGTAGCCATAAATTGGACTCAGCTAACATCTTCTGTGTTCTTTGAAGAAGACTGATGGCTTCTGTTTCTGTAGGGAGTGAAGTCAGACAGTTGTCAACATAAAGGTTTCTGGTAACAAACTTCCTTGCATCTTTGCTGTGCTCTGCCTCTCCTGCTTGAGCTGCTTTTCTCAGCCCATAGATCACCACAGCTGGTGAGGGGTATTGCCAAACACATGCACTGTCATGCGGAACTCTGTCACATCTTTTGAGAGGTCATTGTTTCGGTACCAGAGAAAACGTAGGTAGTTCTGGTGATCTTCCCTTACAGTAAAGCAGTAGAACATCTGTTCCACATCTGCTATAACATCAGTTATTGCTATAAGCTCTTTTCGAAACCGCAGTAGCACTCCAACCAAAGTGTTGTTCAAGTCTGGACCACTTAAAAGCACATCATTCAACGACACCCCCTCGTGTTTGGCGCTCGAGTCAAAAACTACCCGTATTTGTCCAGGCTTTTGCGGATGGTATGCTCCAAACAATGGAAGATACCAGCACTCTTCCTCAGGCTTCAAAGCACGTGCTAACTCTGCTTGCTGAGTGTCAAACATCTTCTGGATGAACTTAACAAAGTGATCTCTTATGTCTGCCTTCCTGTCAAGACTCTGCTTGAGAATGTGCAGTCGTTTAAGAGCCTGCTGGCGGTTGTTTGGCAGTCGCTGCCTATGTGTTGCAAAGGGCAGAGGCACGACCCAACACGTGACTGTTGCCTAAGAGCCAGATGCTGACTCCATAAGGATGAAGCACAATCACAAAAAAACAAGATTCCAAATAGTGTAAATGTACAAAACCAAATACAGTATTTGTAACTAAGACCTAATGTTATTCAGGATGAGAATTGAGCAGATTAAATGTCCAAGCTCATTCAGAAAGTCCCACACAAGTTAGGAAAAGTAACCAACTTGGAACAAGGGCAATTACAAAGCGCTCCCCCCGGTGATCGAGATGACGTCGATGCTTGATGCACCAATGTAACCCATCTGTATGTTATGTCTGTCTATGCATTGTGTTCTGGCATGAAAGTAAGAGACAGGAGACAGCACTGGGTCTTTGGCTTTTTACTGCACATCTGCAACACAGAAATAAAGGCCTGAGCTGTGTGTGTCGCGTCTGCCAGGACACCTCTCCTCCGGCCATGCTGAAAGGAGCGGTGACCGGGGCACACATGCATGCGCCTACGTCATATGTAGCGCACACACACACGAACACACACAGACTCAGATCACACAGGCAGGAGATTAAAATGCAAAATGAAATATTTAATTTAAAAAAAGGTGTTTGGGGTGAAATTTACAAGTATTTAACACATATGTTACATGAGCCTCAATAGATTTTCTTTGTACACTAGCTGTGATCAGCTGCTGCGGCTCTGAGATTTTGTTAATATTTGTAGATTTACACATTTGAATTCAAGAAGATGTAAGCAGATGTTTTTAATGAATTGTTTTGGCTGATTTCCAACGCCAAGTTTATCAAATGTCACTGAGTAGTCCTTATCATTCTCCATTGCTGTGTGACGTTTGCTCTCACTCTTTCCTCTACCTGGGAAACACAAGTGGACACAGTGTGCAGGCTGAACACAAACAGTTTGTGTGTCTGCTGATACTTGTTAACTTGTTAACTGAAACATTGCCTTTTAATTTACCTGCTATATTACTCCTTTTATGCTCGCTCCTCTTCTGTAGGTCTATCTAGATTCTGAAGTATCACAAATATATCTTATGTACATTGACACTCGTTTTGATGTGGCAAAACTCCCCAAAACAAACATACAATAAGTTATGCATAAATTACACGTTTTTGCCTTTTCCGTCACTTTATATGTAATAATCCTTGGTGAAACACCGTTAGGATAGTACTTTGTGTTATAGGGATGGGTATCGTCTAGGTTTTATCAGATACTGATGCCACACCGGTACTTTTGAAATGGTGCCAGTGCTTAAACAGTGCTCGAACCGGTGCTTAAAGAATGGAAAACACAAACTTTGTCCAAAAACCTCTCATGTTTAGCTGTGTTTTTTTGTAAAAAGATAACAATGTTAGCCTTTTCTGCAGCTATAGGGCATATATGGTATCACTCTTGGCTGGAAGCAGTGCTTAAACAATGGAAAAAACACAAACTTTGTCCAAAGACCTCTCATGTTTAGCTGTTTCCCACTTTTTCTTTGGTCATTTTAGCTTTTTTGGCCAGGGTGAAGGGAGTATCTGCCATCAAACAAGAAGACAGCCGCATGTAACTACGACGGTGTTTGCTAGGTCACCTTACATGCATTAATTTAATAACGTGGTTAGCCTACTCAACGTAAATTACACACGAACAACATTAAGCCACATTAAGAGAAGAACGGCTGCTGCTAGCATTATCATCTGCCATCATTTCTGCTACACTGGCAGGGCTAGGGCCAGGACTCTCCTCTTCAGGTTCTAGGGGGATGTTGCTAACTCCAGATCCGATAACAGGCACCACACCCGCAGTAGATGTGCTTGGTGTGAGGTCTATCAAACACGGCGCATTTCTCGGCTTTTAACAAAATGCTATACGTCGCCAGGTGTTTCATCAGATTCGAGCTGTTACCTCCTTTGACAGTATCACAGTATTACCTTTAAAGCACTTGTTGCAGGCTGCTGAGTTTGCATCTTTTGCTGTGAAGTACAGCCAGACTTTTGACCGCTTCGCCTTGGGCATTTTTAATCTGTAGCTCTGCTCTAAAAGAACATACCTACCTGGGCCCACCTACTATCCTTGGAAAGGTAAAATGATTGGCTAGAATCCAAAGTGTATGACATCTCAAGAAAAAAAAGCACCGAAATAAAGCAATGAAATGTGCGGTGCTTTTCGGTCTGATTACTACCGTTTATGTCAGAACTGGTGCCATAATGGCACCGGATACCGGTACCCATCCATATTTGTGTATTAACTGTTTAGTTTCAAACCACTTTGATATTTGAAGGTATGCAGTGATGTGAAATGAAGTACTTTGTTATTTGTCACCTCTACGACTGATTTAAATTAGATTAATTTTGGACAAAAAATAAAAAAAATAATATGAATTATAAGCTTATGGGAATCAAAGAGCATAATACACCTGCCACTGCCTTTCCCCCTCTAATAATTACATTTCAGTTAGATTAAAGACACAGATTTATCTCTCCTCAAATCTTTGCATGTGGACTGTGATTGCTAGAAATATAAAAACTGTATTACAGAGTCGTTTAAAAAATTGTTTGGGTTTAGGGCTGACAGAGTCTTTGTGTGTGTTTGTGGTTGACTGTGTGTGTTTAGATATAATGTTTTAAAGAATGGTTGTCCTTTTTTTTCAGAAGCTGAGGAGCTGTATCAGAAACGTATTTTAACAATAACTGGAATCTGCATTGCGCTCCTAGTCGTTGGAATCATGTGTGTGGTTGCCTACTGCAAAACCAAGTAATGTCATTAATGCCACTTTTTGTTTTTCATTGTATACTATGTAGGTACTGTTCCTGATTTTATTATAGTTTCATATTGTACCGCCAAATTCAGGGTGCAGTTTCTCTTTTGCAGTTGTGGTTGAATAAATGAATGCAAAATGTATAAAAAAGAAGGGGCATCAATAAAAGAAAGTATTCAGATCAAAGAATAAAAAAAGATGTTAAGATGAGATACTCTGAAGTATTTTAATTAGTAGATGCTCAATTGTACAATTTTAATTGTGCAGTAGACCTCCTTGGTTCAAACATTAGTATAGACTATTAGTTTTACAATTTTTGTAATTGAAAATGTATGTTTGTTTAATATCTGATTCAAAGCATGATTTGATGTGTCTTTTATTGTGATTTAGCTACAAAAGTCTGTTACATTCATCCATTGCACTTCTTCACACAGTGAAACCATTATAACATTTCTAAAGTTACCTATAAAGCTGGACATCATCCACAATTCAATGATCAGAGATACGGTAAAACCAAGTGGGCTGAGAGAATTTTGAGGAATTTGTGTTGCTAGTGGCCAATACAATCATATTCATTGTACTGTTGTACAATGTTATAAACATAAATTACTTTTGCTAGCATCAACTATGAATTACTTTTACTATCTTTTTGTTTATGTGGGACTGCCATCAGTTATGTATCCAAGTTGCGATCTGGGCTCTTTCACGATCTACTTTGTTTCTTTACAAACAGGAAGCAGAGAAAGAAACTACGGGACCGTTTAAGGCAACGTCTAAGGAATAAGAGGAAGAATACCAGTACTGGTATTGACTCCAATGTGGCAAACTCTACCACTGGACGCCCAAATTCTAACTTGCCTCTTCAAGATTTGCAGCTTATTGGTGTATGCTGTTACTGTTATCAAATAAAAGGAATCACAATTTGAATCTGTAAATTCATAACAGTTGTCAGTGTGGTTTCTGCTTTCTGTTTATAGCAACATAATGGAAAGACAATGAAGCATACAGCTGAAAAGGAGACAGAGACAAACCTTTCCACAAGCAAATATACCTTATCTGTGCATAATCCTACCACACTCACCAACATCTCCAGTCAAAGGTAAGAGAATGACTTTATATTTTCACCTTGGGTATTTGATATTATTGAGTTACTTGGTTACTACTTGGTCGGGGTCCAGGTAACACAAAAAGGACACTATGTATAATGTAGTAATTGAATTTGTTGCCAGAGCAAACTATGTAGGGTACGTGGGACACTGTTTAGCACATATGTGACTTTGGTCATTAGAACCATTAACACTTAAACTCAGTGCACACTTTAAGAAAAGCTGTGTGGGAATTTGATTTTCCTCGTAGAATTGAGCTTTACTTTTAATCTGTGTGTCAAGTGTCAAATCAAGTGTTAGTTGAAATATAGTTGAAAATTGCCTTCCATTTTTAGATAGTGAAATAAATTAACTTGTGAAAAAACTAGTGAACAATAGATTTTGCTCTAAAAACAGCATTAACTACTAAAGTAATACTGATCATAGTCTTGAAATTACATAAAGCTAAAGCTTTATATTACTCTCACCCAGAGTGGCAAAAATACAGACATTCTGTACTTACTTAGAAGTACAGACCAAAAAAAAAAACTCCATTAAAACTTGAAGTACTAGGGGTGGCTGTAGCTCAGGAGGTAGAGCAGGTCACCTACTGATCGGAAGGTTGGTGGTTTGATCCCTGGCTCCAGTCTGCATGTCAAGTATCCTTAGGCAAGATACTAACCCCAAGTTGCTCTGTGATGCGTCCATCAGAGTATGAATGTGTGTTATAGTAGTTAGAAAGCACTATGTATAGAGAAAGTGCTTGTGAGAATGGGTGTGATTGGGTGAGTGTGGCATGTTGTATACAGCGCTTTGAGTACTCCGGAAGAGTAGAAAAGTGCTATACAGGGAGTGCAGAATTACTAGGCAAATGAGTATTTTGTCCACATCATCCTCT